GTGCGTGCGTGCGTGCGTGCGTGCGTGTGTGTGTGCGTGTGTGTGTGTGGCTTAATTCAAGGTTGCACATCACTTCACGCCCTAGAGCAACATGCCTAAGCGCAAAGGCATCAATAGATCCATGGGCATGCGCCTAAGTCATGGCCAAACTAGGATTGAAGACTGTTTAGAGGCAGAGCATCAGGTGGGATACTAATATAAAATAAAATATCAAATGAAACACCAAAATATATCCTTATAAACAATGCAATGTTTTCTCACTGTTTGCGTGATTCAAATGAGATGGCAACATTTGTTCTATCATTAGCTAAAGCTAACGCAGCTTGTTTAGCCAAGATGAATGAGACTTATAAGGAAACTTTGCCGTAGGAAGCAAAGTAATGCACCACCCTGTTGGGCTTCTCTCCGGCTCCCATAGCTCTCCAGTCATTGTCTGGGTTACGCCAGATAACCGCTGGCTTTAGCAGCTTGGCTAGTGTGGTGGTAAACATGGAGGGAAGCTGAATATGGTTTAATTAGCACATGCAACAATAGAAAGCTGGTTGAAAATAAGAAAATAAAGCAACCCGATGAGACACAAAGGCTAATTTTGCTAACTAGCATAAGCTTTAGCTTGTTGGGCAAAATGTAGAGCTTTCACGACCTAAAGTTTAAAATGAGATATACTCCTATTGCAAAAACGTCTAGAAGACCAAAAAACGGGGCAAGATGCTTGATGTTTTGTGTAATTGTATTTAGTAAGTTGTAGATGCAAACAATAGCATTTTTTTTTTTAATTGTGTGTTTCAGATGCACATCCTGCCATGCTCCAGCAGGACAACATGATGAACTTCAGGGGCCAAGTCTTAAAGCGGCAGATTAGGGCACAATTCCAGAACTGACTTTTGAGTCTGTCTTTAAAAATATAGTCAGTTTTCTTACTTTTCTAATAAAAAAGATGGGTCTTCGGCCAGCTACCTTCACATAAACCTGCATGAGAGAAACTTAACATGTGTCCCTATTAGATCCGATCCAGTCTTTTTGTATAAAACATACACTGTTACACATAACAGCACAAAGGTCTATCAAGCATATGTTACCCGGGCAGAATCAGCTGTACAGTATATAAATAAAGCAACTTTTACAGAAAATAAATGTACATCTCACCAACTATGCCTGCCATTCAATCCAATTAAAGCAACCATGTAAACGTATGTAAGCACACACAAACAGACAAACACACACACAAAATACTCAAATTCCCAAGGAGTCATCTGCACACATTCATATTCAGGAGAGGAGGAAATGATCAGGCTGTGGTAATGTCAGAATCAATCAGCCAATCCTGGAAACCCCCATGGTCAGTGAGGCTGACGAGAACGAGAAGTGTGTGTGTGTGTGTGTGTGTGTGTGTGTGTGTGTGTGTGTGTGTGTGTGTGTGTGTGTGTGTGTGTGTGTGTGTGTGTGTGTGTGTGTGTGTGATAGTAAGAGAAGAAAGAAAGAAATAATTGCCTCAGCATAGTTGAAACATTTTTTTCAGTAAATCACAGATAAAGAAGATCTTGTAATTACCTTTGCTGAGTTTGAAGTAAGAGGGAGAGAGAGAGACAATACATGAGAGGCTGAGCGAATATAAAAGCAAGACCTCACACTGTATTGATGTGTCTCTGTTTTGGAGAACTCTACTGCCCTCCACTGACTGAATCAGTCCAGACCAGCCCACATAAAATCCAAAGCAAGCTGTAAACAAGTATACAGACGTATGGGCCAACAAAAAATGAATGTGTTGGGAAGTTATTGTCTACAATAAGCCTCAGAACAGCCTTACTGCACCGTGCAGGGGATTAAATATAAAGAGTGCACTAGGGCCCATAGAAATACCCCTATGTTAATAGAAGATTTCACAGTGCCTTCTGCTATATATTCCCTTTTAGGAAGGCAAGCCATAATAGTTTTATTTTATTATTGGGGTTTTTTCTGATGTCATTAGTTAACCTACTGCATATTTGTTGCTATAAGCTTGTGCCGGCCTGGCCTTCACAGAGGCAGAGAGCGAGTGAAACCAGCAGACCGGGCGAGTCCAATATTTTACAGGGGGGCAAGGGCACCCTACCAACTTGGACTGATCCTGTATTTTGTTGAAATCACTATTTTAGCACTATAATGACAATAAACACATTTTGGTACTGGTCAGTAGTATACTGAAATGTTGTGTTTTCTGAAGGAAAAGGAAGGAAGCCCCGTCACAGTTTATAGTGGAATCTAGATACATTTAGTTTGGAAACAGGAGGGAGGCAGACTCCCAGGGGCGGGGATTAGGTGGCATTCAGCTGGCCTTCAACTTGGATGGAGAAACCTAAGTGCCTCCATATATCTTCCCACACTGCACAGCTAGTCACCGTCAAACTTCTCTCTATATCTCTGCACATTTTTTAGCTTTACATAATCAACCTAAACATTGAGTAATATAAGAATTAGTCTTGTTTATTTAGTTTAATCTTGAATCCCGGTACAGCTGGGTTATCAGCTGTTCAGCTCTTTGCCAAGTGTGCACATAAACTGTACATTTGGACATTTTATTCTCAAAACATACATCTGCAGATGTTACCTTGTAACTGTTCCTTATGTTGCCTCTCTAATTAACTACAACTTCAAAAATCATCCAAACTAAGCTGAGATGTTTTAATAAAGTAAAATAAACCTTTTGTTCCAAGGTGTTTCCTATGTTACCTTGTCTACATTTGGGGATAGTCTAACTTGCTTACTTGTCTGACCACGACATCAGGACTCCAGATGCGGTATTATTATTTAAAATAATAAGAATAGGAAGAACCTTCTGTCCTGTTCTTTTGAACTCTGAGAAGCTGCCTTAGGGCCCTGGATAATAAACTCTTCTCTTCTTTTATATCATGTCTTTGTTCTTTATATAACAATAAACCACCCAGATGATTTAGATTTAACAAATTGTCAAAACGATGTAGCATTAAATAGTCTCAATTAATAAAAAATAGCACTAGAATTGCCTTCACTTGGCTCTCAACATGGCTAGAGCTGATCTCAGTTAACGGTGATAGCTACTAGCCAGCTAAATCTGCCGGCCCTGCTACATACACAAGATAGAGAGAAGACAGGCTGGGATAACAACACATAAACACACACATGTACCCATTCCTCTACTAAATCTTCACATATCAATAGTGAATTTTACTGCTCAGAATCTCACATTTGGAACTTTAAGAGCGCAAACCTTTTTGAAAGCATAATTCAATCAGAACATGTCTGTGCCCCACACTAACATACCCCAGGGCAACAGCAACTATGTATTCCAATCGAGCTTCTGGAAGTGATGCCTCATGTCCTTTTCACTCTGGTATCTACCAAGTGTCTACCATATTTCAGTCAGAAGTTGGCTAGGTAATGCGCAGTTTTACATTTTATCCAGACAGGAGGAAGTAAAGGGAGATATTCTAATCTAAAAAGGAACAAAAAGAAGAAAGCCCTGGGATTTTAAAACAATCTTCTTTATGAGCCCTTGCGCCATACAGATTTCCTTTAGACCTTTAATCTTTCACTGAAGCAAAACTGTCTATGGTTGGTTTTAAGATTAGACACTGCACAGCAGCACTTCATTAGTTTAAGAAAAGGTCATGGTCTTGGTTTAAATCAGAAAGTTACAGCTATTTAAAGTAATGCAGCATGTTTTTGATTGGGGTGTTTAAAACCTAAAAGGAATCAAAGTGGTTTTGTACTCCTAAACCTAACCCCCGACAGGAGGATGTCCTGCACTCGTTTTACCTGAAAACCATCTGACCACTTCCATGTGCAGCAGATTAATGCAACACTTTATTCATTCCAAATAATGTTGCCTTTGAGCATAGATCGGCTTTTTCCCCCAGGAAGGTATATGAATGTACTTCATTCAGGTTTCAGGCTTCATCTCACATCCATCTCACATGTTGAACCTGCTGCAGGGATTCTCTCCCATTCAGACACAAGAGCATTAGTGCGATCTAACACTGGTGTTGAGTGATAAGGTCTGGGCCATCTCCAGCTCATCTCAAAGGTGTTGATGGAGTCAGGGCTCTGTGCACGGCAGTCAAGTTCCTCTACAAACATTAAAAGGATATCATTCTATCATACAGATGCAATTACATTATTCACACTGGAGTTATGGTTTCAAATAGTAACAATTCACAAAATACAAGAAGACATAAATATACTGAAATGGGTAGCATTTGACAGTAACTTTGTACCAGCAAGACAAGATGAATGTTCCAAACGGTGGGTGACCAAGGGAATCACAGCATGGTGCACTTTGGAGAAGAAAGGGGAACTAGAGAGTTTTCAGGATATGAAAGATAAATACGATTTAGGGAAACATGACTTCTTTAGATATCTACAACTAAGGGATTATTATAGAAAACACTTCAGGGGAACACCCTCCAAGGACGTGAATGAAGTGATTCAGACTATAATATATATTAATATAATATATATAATCAATTCGTATAGAGGAAAAAAAAGCGATGGGTTGTAGGCCTCCTGTTCCTCTTCAGCAGGTTCAGAACACCGGGCTGGGCTCCTGTCCGCTGCTCACTCTCTGGGTTTGAGTGCAGACGTCAAAGCGACTCGTCTCAAGTTATCGGAGAGAGAGAGGTGGAGAAAGGTCCAACACTTTATTTATAACAGCCTCTTCGTTATCTTAGAGAGGGTTTTATTCACAAAAGATTTGGGAAATATCCCTTTATCCCTCTTATGTTCATTCCCTCCTCTTCATCACCTTCCCTCTCAGTAGCTTGTATTGCCCGACTAGTAAAGCGTGTGTCAGGTTTCTGAGTGAGAACCTACAGGAAGCTACTGGTTGATGGCAACATTTACAAAGAAGACTTGATGATCTGCAGTGTTGAGCTCTGGGCCCCACAGTCCAGGAGCCAGCACTACACACAGCAGCTGTTCTGCAGCTGGAAGCTGGTTCAAAGCGCTTTGTGTGTGTGTGTGTGTGCGATCCACCATACCTGAAGTATCACAAAGTCCCTGCAAGGCCCCCAGAACAGGGTCTCTGTCTGTGAGCAGGGCCCGGCTGCACGAAACAATCTGATTGGTTAATTTCCTCCAGACAGTCCTGAAGATGGAATTAAAAAATGTGAGAGGAGGCAAAATAGGCCTAAACAACAAGTCAACACTTTGTGTGATTAAATGTAATGTCAAAAGTCTTTAAAATAAATTCATACATTTTGGGAAACCGATTCTTTAAACTTCCCTGTAATGTTACAGGGAAGTTGAGAGCTTCACGGTGAATGGAAGGTGCTTTCTGTCTTCTATAAAGTGGAACTATTCAAGGCAAGGTAATGATGCTCCATCCTGACCATCCTCCTCTCTGATCTGTACAGACTGTGACTCTGAACATGTCTTCCATGCTCTCAACTTATCTTCATGCAGATCAAATCCCTGACACGTTCACTAGTTCCAGATACATGTTGAATCAGTCCTTGAGGTTCCTTTCATTCTCTAAAAGCACTTTGTTAAGGTCTTTGAGAAAAGCTGCTGTATAAACATTTCCTCTGCCTCACCAGCAGTCTGTGGCTGAGCAGCAGTTCCTCTTCTACGGAGGAAGGATCCACTTTCTGTCTCTTGTCCTGAATCATCAGCAACTCCTCGTCTGGGTTATGAACCCTGAAAGATAGACAGGGACATGGTAAAGCAAGTGGAACATTTGTTGTCTTTTTCTAAAACTCTATGCACAAGCAGCCAATGTGAGCACTCTGAGGATGACCCATCCCATGTTGTTGTTACAAAGGGACTGCCATACAGAGGGTAAACCACTTCACTGCCTCCGAGGCAACACAGGGATTTGAGCCTTTGCAGACCATTTACATGCACAGAAACGTATATCCCTGAAAAAGCAGAATAGGGCCTCTTTAAACATTTGATAATGTATTTAATTGTTTTGTTTGATTTATGTTTCTCGTTCTATAACACTGCAGGTTTTTTGTTTTTTTATCAACTTGTTTCTCTTTTTTGTGTTTGTGTTTCTGCTGCTTTGTTTCATTGTGCAACAAATCTAATTAGAAAGATGGTCAGAAAAGCTTGTCATACAGCATTAGAATGGAATGTACAAGACAAGGCGAATCACTTACTGTACTGTTTATCTAGTTGGCTCTTTGTTCCTACCGTTTCCTGCTGGCTGGGTCTGCCGGCCTCCCAGCGGACGCTTTAGAGGAGGAGGGCTTGTCGTCCTCCGGCACACTGCTGAGGACGCTCAGCTGGAAGTCATCGTCCATGGAGATATACGGAGCCAACATATCCAGATCCATCACCTCCTGCTCAGAGACAGAAACATGAAGCTGTGCACAGACTCAAACAGAGAGTAAACCTTCACTGTCTCATTTTGTCTGCAAAAAACAAACATAGTACATTTATTTTTATTAAAAAATTGTGATTTTTCAAAAACATTTTTACAGCTATCAGATCTCAACCAAGACACTATCAGATGCCTTGAATCAATATCATAGGCTTCAGGTTGGAATGGCATATCAGATGTATAACATCTCAACTAAACGTTTTATAATCTGATTTTTTATCTGAAATTAGTAGAAAGCAAGATTTTTAACTTTTTCAAATTCAAATTCTGAAAAAAAAAAGTTTAAAACATAACTAGAAGTGAAAAGGCTTAGAAAACAGACTTCTAAAAGAAGGTGATTTTTATTTGTGCTCGTACCTCCAGTGTCTCTCCCTCTCCGTCTCCTGGACCAACAGAGAGCGTCTCCACCGGGTCCCCCCCCCCTCCTCACAGGGGCTCTGAGGGACAGAGGACAGAGGGACATCAGACAGACACTAACACTTTCATAGTTTAAAAAAAACACTTGGTATGATATATACCAGCTGATCCTCAGGGGAGGAGCAGGGTGAGGATGAGGAAGGTGGAGTGAGGGGGCTGAAGATGGGTGAGAGCAGCTGACGCAGCTGGGGGGTGCACAGGTCCTGAGGGAGCTCCGGCACAGAGGACTGACCACGGGGACTGCAGAACGACAGCTCCAATAAATCTGAGACACAACACAAAGGTTCAGGAGAGAAGAGTTCCCTGGGAGCTACAGAGTGTCTGAGCTGATAGTTACTCCATGTCTGTTCAAAGAAAACACTGAGTTATGATCAAACAGCTCATTTGTATTGACATTTGCTCCAATTAAAGCAGAGCATTATGGGATTTCCTGTGCATCACGATTAAATGGTGATAAATGCATTTAATTAACTGCACATTTCTAAAAGGGCCTCGCTGTTTAAATTGTATGGGATCATTTAAAGTATATTGTTTAGCACCAACTGCTGGTTTGACACTTAAAATAAGTGATAAAGTGTGGACAAACATTTAGGCTAAAATAAACTCAAACATTTTACTGATATTTTTTTTGATAATACAAAAGTCGCAAGATGAGCCTTATGTAAAATGAAATACATTTAATATTACTTGAAAATAATCGATCAAACCTTTTTAATTTAACAGCAGAAAAAGATACAACATGAGATATCGCTCGTTCCCATTTTTGGCCTGGCAGTTAAATATATATATATAATAATAATAATATTTGTTTACAGAAGCGTTTCTCACTGGTGCTTAGTAAATGTAAATGTGTTAGCCCCACCTCCTGTCAGCGGGGTGATGGGGTCCTCCAACTCTGAAGCCTCCTTCAGAAGCTCCTCCTTCACTTGAAGGAAGAGCTCTGCCACGGGGCTGGGAATCGAACCGGCGTCCTCAGACTGACCGGGGCTGGTGAGACACTTACTGCCGGAGTCAGACTGGCTGAGGTCAGAAATCCCAGAATCCTCTGCTGGTTGGGGCTCAGCTTCAGGCAGCCGGCCGCAGCGGGTCTGCTCCACAGAGAAAACCACGCCCGGCTGCTCCACGTCGCTGCAGAGAGGAAGAGGAACATACAGAGTGAATACAAAGGGAAAAGAGATACTGGTTTCTGAACACTTAGGTCACAGTTATGTAACTTTACACTACAGTACATCTTTTCTCACGTCTTCTGTTCAAAAACCTAAAATACTGGCTTTTCCAAAATAATTTGTAGATCAGCAAGCACATATAGAACTCGTCTCAGGGAACAGGAGTGAGTCGGCAGGAATGGAAGACAGACTCAATTAGTGTACACAAAATAAATGTAATGCAATAAAGAGAATAGTAGTACACAAAGGAAAGGCCTAACTAATGAAAAACAATAATAAGTCAATGTGAATCTCAAATACAACCCCCCCCCTAGACACATAAAACAGTGTTCATTATAGAATCCAGAGTACAGCAACTTTAAATGAGGAGCTGATGGCTCTGGTCTGACCTGAAGATGAAGTTGAGGCAGACCACGGCCTCGGGCAGCGACATCCTGCTGCTGTAGAGGACGGTGGCCTGGGTCTCCGCCCACACGAAGCCCCCGCCGTTTTTCCTCCCAAAAGGAGAACCTTTCTTCTCTCTTGCCCCCACCACAGAGAGGTCAAAGGTCAGGTACAGTCAGTCCTACCTGCCCTCGCAGTGGGTGAAGCGCAGGTCCATGTTGTGGCGGGTGAGGAAGGGGCAGGTGTCCAGAGGGAACTCCACACTGGAGGGGTGAGGGATGGGCTCACACAGCAGGGTCATCACTCTGCCTGCAGGGGGCGACGTGGAGCCCCCGCCCAGCTGACGGAGGTGACCCGTACAGTGGATAACCTGCAGGAGGAGGGGAGATTAAACATGGAGGAGCTGGCCAGAGGATCAGCGGCGCCGGATTCATTTCAGAAGTGGGGGGGCCAAAAAGTGTGTGTGTGTGTATGTGAAAGAAATGCTAAATCTACAGTGGTAATCAGTCCGCCAGTGCCTCCGCCAGGGCGGAGTGGTAATCACTCCGCCTCTCTGGCTACAGGAGGTAATGCAATTCATGAAACTTATTTAAAGAAATTCAAGAAATTGACATAAATTATTTATTCAACCGATGAACAATAGTTGTAATACAGTTACGAAAAGGACGAAGAGCCACTCGAACTGGCCTGGCTGGGGCGTAATATTAACTGTATAATAAAATAGGTCTTCCAATGAAACTATTGGTTAATAACACCTAACACAAGCTGTGATGTCATGTAATCAAAATCACATGACTCAAATGTCCAATCACAGGTGAGGGTGGAGGCGGAGCACCCTTCAAACAAATGTCCGACATTAGGCTAAAGCTAAAGAACATTTCCACGTGGCTAAATCTACACAATCTTCCTAGATTTTGCCGAAGTAAACCTCCCTTC